GTAAAGAATCTGAGACTTAAGGAATTTAAATCGTTTGCTCAAGATCAAGCAGGTAGTTGAGGAGAGAGATGGGATTTGAAGTGAGTGCAACTCTCAAGCACAATCGAGGCTTTCCTTTCTCCCTATACCTCCGCCTTTCTTCTCCTCACCCAACCCTACCCACATTAAATGTGGGTAGCTCAATAGAACTCATTAAGTGTCTTCTTCATCCCTTATCATACTAGTAATGCACTAAAACAAGAAAATATATACTGTACATGCTGTAGAATAACTATATTGAAACATACTTTTCTGTCTTAAAAAATAAATTGTATGTCATCTCTATTTTTCCAAAATAGCCTGGGAGACATGACTTTTGTTTTGAAATATATGTACATAATATTCCCTCATTCTGCTGACGGGCAAACGGTGGGCATTATGGTATGGTTCATGCACAGTAAAATACATGCTATATAGTAAAGGACATATTTACTGCAGATAAAATGAAAATTTTGTCTCCCTTTGAGTTCTAAAACAGAAAGCAGATTTTTTAGAAAAGAGATTTCCCATCTTATTTCATTGATGCCTTTATGTATTCAATAAGGAAGGCACAAGTATCATTTATCTCATGGTAATGAAAGGCATTGTATGTAGGTACATTTTTAGAATCTCATTCTACTCTCTGTTTTAGTTAGATCAAGGTGCTATAAAAAATACTATTACTGGGTAGCTTAAACAACAAATATTTTGTTATCACAGTTCTGGAAGCTGGAAAGTTCAAGATCAAGGTGTTGGCAGATGTGATTCCTGGTGAGGGCTCTCCTCCTGACTTGCAGATGGTAGCCTTCTTGCGGTGTGCTCACGTGCCCTTTCATCAGTGCATGCTTATGAGGACATCTCTGTGTCTTTCTCTTTTTCTAAGGGTACTAACCCCATCATAAGGATCCCATCCTCATGACCTCATATAAACCCTAGTTACCTTCCCAAGGCCTCACCTCCATATCAGGGGTTAGGACTTTAACATATAAATTTCGGGAGGACACAAACATTCAGTCCATACACCCTCCTAAAAAATGTGACTTGTATTACATTATTATAAAATTAGGACAAAATATATTGAGTAATTATCTTCTGGTTGTGTCAAAAATCTTAATCCCTTGATATGCAAAATATGTGAAAAACAAACTTCAAGAAAACAATTAAAAAGAATAAAGTCTATTAGATTTACAAAGGAGGGATGATGCCTGGTTTCATGGAAAGCAACAGATTCATATGTTGTGACTCAGAATTGTGGCTCTGCCTGAGGTACTCCAGCAATGTCGCAGTCAACTGAAAAAAAGAGAGAAAAGATTCCTTTGAATCCAAATTGTATTCCCACATCATCTTCAAGTAAACTGATAGAAAATCAGTAATTACTATATTTTTAAAAGTTTCAAGAAGACTTAAGGCACAGCCACAATTAAAGAGCTTATTCCATCAAGAATGTGAAAAAGAGAAATGAAAAATCCAACCCCTCAGGTCAACTCAAACTGTAGTTTTCCCCCCAAATATCCAGAATGAAAAGAAAGGATTAAAGGGGGAAGAGAAGAATCTAACATTAACTTGAGCCCATTTGGAGCATACACTTCAGTGGGTATTGTATGATGTTTTATTTAATCCTCATAACAACATTGCGAGATGCAAGCTTTAGAAGTCATACATTATAAATGACAAAATGTAGATTCTGAAAGCATAATTTGTCCCAGATCACACAGTGAGGTATGAGGCAGTTCTTCTGCAATTGAGTTGGGTGCTCTTTCCAATGCAATGCAATTAGGAAGTAATGTAGTTCATAATCTGGCTTACACAGAAAACCACTCCAAAAATTATTGCCCACGATAAAGTGGCATGGTTTCCCAACAATCCACTCTTTATTAGTCTTTAAAGCGTTCTAGTTAGCTTTTTCTATTTTTCTAATTTGTTTGCATATTTAAAATGTAAATACTTGAGTATTATGTCCATGATGGACCATTAAATGAAAAAAAAAAAAGTTGCCAAAAATATAAAACAGACCTAAAGGAATTGTACCAACAAAGGAAAATGTAAATGCCCCAAATATGAATATGATTAGGTAAGTTGTAGAGAGATTCAGCCATTAGAATAATGACATCTACTGAAAAAAGACTAGGTTAAGCTATAATATTAAGTACAAAGATCAAGACACAAAGTAATATGTAGAGTGTGATTACAACTGTAAGGAAACACATAGAAAATAAAAGGCTGGACATTAAGTACAAAAAAAGATGCACTTAATGTAACAGAATTATGAGTATTCCCATGCTATCGTCCATTTTCTTTAACATACTTCAATTAAATTTTGTAATTTCTTAATCAAAAATCAGTGAGCTTTTAGAAGCAACATGCTTAAGTCAAGCCATACGATAGCTTCCTCCTTGACGGCCAGAAACAGTTTTTGGGTTTCGTTTTTCATTTTATTTCCCTTAATACACAGTGTCTTATACCCAGGTGATGCTCAATTTTTTTATATAGAATTTTTTTTTAAAGGACAGACAAAAGCAAAAAATGATCCCCCTCTGCTTAGGAATTATTTCCTATATAGGCTCACTAATTAGAGATTTGTGTTAATGAGTTCCTCTTTTAAAATGCAAATGAATCAAATGGCTAAATGAGGATAAAGTAAAAGCAGAGAACACACAAGAGGAAACATAAATATCTAATAAACATTCAATGAAAAGTTGAACCTCATTAATAATCAAAGAAGTCAAAATTAAAATATCAGTTTTCTTTACGAAACTTGCAAAAATTTTCATGGTAATTCTTAACACCAAATGGAGTATTAACAGGAATATAAATATATGCCTCTTTCAAAAATTACTCCTAGAACTGAAAAATTGGACTAACTTTCTGAAAGCAATTTAGCAAAATGCTCCTGACTTTTGACTCAACACTTTCATTTTTAGGAACACAGTTTAAGAAAAAAATTATAGACATATGTAAGACTTATCTTCATGGATGGTCAATTTAGCATCATAATTTGAAAGCAATTTAAATAATCAAAATTGCCACAATAAGGGAAAACTAAATTTTTGTATATGAATTCAGTAAAATACAAGTCTTTATAATAGAATTTTCAAAAACTTGAATATAGAAAAATTATCTTGATATAACATTTCTTGGCACAGCAGGATCCAAATTGCGCTATACATCATGACCTCACTTTTACAAGTACTTAAGCTTAGGTGAGGTATTGGAAGAGAATAGGAGTAATGCCTTTTCTCTGGCTGATGGTATTTAACATAATTTGTGGTGTTTTCTTGATTTTCTTTTATACTCAACTGTTCTAAAAGAATGCTTGTCATATATAATGAGCATTTTAATTATGTGTTCTATGTATTCTAGTTGCAATTTCTGGGATTGATACCAAATGAAGAAAATGTTTCTACACAAAGATGTTTTATACACAGCTTTATTTAAAATAGTGAAATTGGGGGAATATCTTTAACTACCTGGTTAACTACTAAAGGTAGTATGGCACAGCTATAAAACAGACCATACTGTATTTTAAAATTCTTTTTAATTCCTTTTACTTTATGCAAATTAATCATCTTATTTTAGTGTGATGGCAAGAAAGATACTAGGACAGCTAGGAAGGAACACACATGCACAGAGAGCAAGAGAGAGAGAGAGACACTGTCTTCTCTCTAAAGAGCTAAATTCAGGATTGGAGTAAGGGATCAAGTTTTCTATTCTTTGAGTACCAGCAGCAAAATGAGCAAGATTATTTTTCTCTCTGAGTCTGTGCTACATTTTCTAGCCATCTCAAACATAAACACATATAAATGGTTTACTGACATGAGAATTCATGTCAGCTTAGCTGCTGCTTTTATTTATTTTTATTTTTATTTTTTTTTTCTTTTTGAGATGGAGTCATGCTCCCTCACCAGGCTGGAGTGGTGCAGTGGCATGCTCTCAGCCTCTGCTTTCCGGGTTCAAGCAGTTCTCCTGCTTCATCCTTCTGAGTAACTAGGATTATAGGGGCCTGCCACCACATCCAGCTAATTTTTGTATTTTTAGTAAAGACAGGGTTTCACCATGTTTATCAGGCTGGTCTCGGACTCCTGACCTCATGATCCACCCAACTTGGCCTCCCAAAGTGCTGGGATTACAGGCATGAGCCACAGCACCCGGCCTAGCTGCTTCTTAATCCCATGTCACTCCACTTCCAACTCTAGCATGCACCCAAAACCCTTGCTGCTGGTGTCCCCTTTCCAAAGGCCAGTTCTCTCATGTGAGTTATGGAACAGACTACTGAACCCCAGATACCTTCCTTGATGTTCCCTTGACTCTCTAAAAAAGGGCACATCTGGCCAGGCATGGTGGCTCACGTCTGTAATTCCAGCAATTTGGGAGGCCAAGGCGGGCAGATCACCTGAGATTAAGAGTTCAAGACCAGCCTGGCCAACATGGTGAAACCCTGTCTCTACTGAAAATACAAAAACTAGCCAGGCACGGTGGCAGGTGTCTGTAATCCCAGCTACTTAGGAGGCTGAGGCAGGAGAATCATTTAAACCCGGGAGGCAGAGGTTCCAGTGAGCCAAGAATGTGCCACTGCACTACAGCCAGGGTGATAGAGCAAGACCCTGTCTCAATTTTTAAAAAAAAGGTGGGGGCACATCTTTGTTGTGGAAAACAACTTTATCTCTCTCCCACCCATCATTGACTTCTCCCCCCATCCCCAATCCATAAAGAAACAGAGCACAGGTCATTAAGTCTGGACCATAAGCATGAAGAATAAGATTCCTGCTTCCCCTTTTGTAGTAATACCCCCAATGTTTAGAAGGTATTCTATTGGAACCCTGCTACACATGATGTTCTCCTCCAGACGGCAGCTCACATTTCTAAAAGCTTATATGGATCCCTTGAGTATAGTACTCACACAGAGTAGGGGAAGGGTGAGGAGGAAGGCAGACAGGCCAGTTCTGCCACCTATTAATAACTTCATGAACCTCCCGCCGCCCACGATGCCAAAAGGAAAGAAGGCCAAGGGGAAGAAGGTGGCTCCGGCCCCTTCTGTTGTGACGAAGCAGAAGGCCAAGAAAGTGGTGAATCCCCTGTTTGAGAAAAGGCCTAAGAATTTTGGCATTGGACAGGATATCCAGCCCAAAAGAGACCTCACCTGCTTTGTGAAATGGCCCCACTACATCAGGTTGCAACTGCAGAGAGCCATCCTCTATAAGCGGCTGAAAGTGCCTTCTGCAATAAACAAAATGACAAAACATACAGGCAGCACGCACATCCACAGACTAAAGACAGCCTCAGGAGGCATCAGCTGACTCTTCATGAGGTTATTTATTTATTTACTTTTATTGTTTTAATTATTTCAATGTACAGAAAACTCAACAGAGTACATTTAACTCAGTTCCATGGCAAGTTCTTGAGCCTTTGCCTTTTTGAGCTTGGCGATGCGAGCCATAGACCTGGGACCCAGGGCCTTGCCTCCCAGTGACGGCGGATCTCATCATATCTGTCATTGGTTGTAATTGGTCCGGATAGCTTCCACCAGCTTAGACAAAGCACCTTTGTCTTCCGAGTTCACCTGTGTGAAGGCGACAGTGGTGCAGATCTTCCTGTGGACCAGACATCCCAGTCTTGCCTTCCCCTTGGTAATACAGTAAGGGACTCCCATTTTATGACACAGGGCAGGCAAGAAGACAACCAGATCTATGGGATTAACTAGTTGACCCAGGCCCTGGACCGCCAAACAGCTACTCAGCAACTTAAGCTGGCCCAGAAATATAGACCAGAGACAAAGCAAGAGAAGAAGCAGAGGCTGTTGGCCTGGGCCGGGACGTCCCCACTAAGAGACCACCTGTCCTTCGAGCAGGAGTTAACACCGTCACCACCTTGGTGGAGAACAAGAAAGTTCAGCTGGTGGTGACTGCATATGACGTGGATCCCATAGATCTGGTTGTCTTCTTGCCTGCCCTGTGTCGTAAATTGGGAGTCTCTTACTGCCTCCTGAGGCTGTCTTTAGTCTGCGGATGTGCGTCTACCCGTATGTTTTGTCATTTTGTTTATTGTTAGTTTGGATGTTTGTTTATTTGCTTGGTTGATTGGTTTGGGGATTTTAGAAACAACTCCAAGATAACAATGATAAAAACGTTCTTTCAGCATTCTGCGACACAGCAAAAAGACTGGAAGAAAAGATACTAATAGACTACAGTGTTATTAGTGCTTCTTACTAGGTGGTAATACTATGGTTTGTTATTATTACCTCCTTATCTTCTGAATTTTCCTATTTTTTAAAGAGAAATACATTACAATACAAATCAAGGAGAATATTTAAAATGATATTCAAATGTAGTGAATGCATACTTTTTATGTGAAGGTGATTGAATAGGCATGCTCATCGATGGTTACAAAGAGCTTAATAATAGAATAAAGTGTCTAGGTACTGGCAGATTCTTTACTGCTCAGACAAATCAAGAAATTATTCTTCTTTTAAATAATGGGTTTAACCTACATTGTTACACACTCACACAAATACACATACACACTCAGAGGAGAGAATCATACTTATTCCAGATAAATGTTGAGTTATGTTAAAGAACTAGGAATTCTGAGATCAATAATGAAGTTCTTTAAAAAAGACCCCCAATTCAGACAAGACAAGGTAGATCAAATAGCGGGCAAACTGGAAATGCATATCAAAACCTATTATTAAACATGAATCATACAGTCTATTTGGGTTGTAAATATTATTGTTTTTCATATTATTGAAGCTGCCCCACTCATTTTTAACATATTCCTGTATTGCCTTCATAAAGTTCTAATTTAAAAATTCCTCTGAAATTAATGTGCATGTCTATGTACACACATGAATACACACACACACACACACACACACACACACAGAGTCACATATATAGGGTTCTTGTTATTCAATTAATCACAGTGACCCAGGAATGGCATTTAATTAAGCCCACTGAAAACCAGGGCAAAAATCACACACACACACACACACACACACACACACACACACATATATATATTTTAAAAATGTATGAATGGGACTTTACTTCACACGCACACACACACAGGCTCACAGGCTCACATATATAGGGTTCTCATTATTCAGTGAATCATAGTGTCTGGGGAACGGCAGTTAATTAAGCCCACTTAAAATCAGGGCAGGCCAGATGCAGTGGCTCATGCCTATAATCCCATCACTTTGGGAGGCGGAGGTGGGCTGATCATGAGATCAGGAGTTGGAAACCAACCCAACCAATAGAGTGAAAACCCGCCTCTACTAAAAATACAAAAAACTATTTGGGCGCGATGGCAGGCACCTGTAATTCCAGCTACCCTCAGCTACTCGGGAGGCTGACGCAGGAGAATTGCTTGAATCTGGGAGACGGAGGTTGCAATGAGCCAAGATCACGCCACTGTACGCCAGCCCAGTGACAGTGAGATTCCACAAAAAAAAAAAAAAGGCAAAATTATATATGTATACATGAAAAAAATGTATGAATGAAACTTGACTTCACACACACTCACATGCTCACATATGTAGGGTTCTCATTCAATTATCTCAGTGTCCAGGGGAAAGGCACTTAACTAAGCTCACTTAAAAATCAGAGCAAAATTATATAGATATATACATATGAAAAGAAAATGTAAGAATGAGACTTTACTTTGAAAAATAAACATTTTAAAATTTTTTAGTTGTATCTTCTATTTAATGAAATGGAGGTTGTATTTGCAACCACGTAACAACTCTTAGAATTTACAAAAGAAAAACAGCCCATCTTAACTTTTTATTTATTGGTTTGAATTTTTCACACAAAAATTGTATAGTGTGTTTTACCCTCAAGCTAGACTTTCACAGCAGAATTAAATAAAAGGGTTGTTTTCTTGCTAAATTACCTAAGGGTTTATCCATTTTCCCAGAGGTTGTCTTCTCTTAATCCTTTGAAATTCAAATCATTGTCTTTTGAAAAACCTGTCTAGTCATCATGATTACCACTTTCCCTTCAACTGTTAACTCATCTAACTGCCAGATCCTCATTTATCAACAGCTTTGCACGTGATTACAGCAGTTTTCAAATATATCACTTTCCACAGACTTCAGATTTGGTTGCGAAATTTGCAATCACAAGTTGAAATTTGTTAGAAATTTATTTGCAGAAATTGGATGTTTATATCTTTCTATAATCACCTATAAAGACAATGACTAAAAAACAGTAGCATTTGGTGGAGTAGGAGAAACATGGTCATGTTATGAACACTTACGTTTTCCTGACAACATTTTTGTTTTTCTGATAATTATCTCTGAAAAAGAGATTGGATAGTAACTTTTAGGACATTGAAAAACCCTGTGTGTATGTGTATGGTTATGCATTAGATCTCTGGACTATGAGAGCCTTACCTAGGAAGCTTTTAGAACTAAAAGTGAATAAAACTAGGTAAGCATCCTCTCCTATTTTCAGTCCCAAAATATGGACACAGACTGGGAGACTTAAACCAGATCTTATTGTAAATTATAGCCAGGAAATCATCTCGTCCGAGAATTCAACTACACTGATGGATATTTTAACTACAGTAGAAAAGGGGAATCGAAATTTAAGTTGGGAATATGTGACACTTCAGGAGAAAAACAAAGGACTTTTAGAGATGCCGAAGTGTGTACATTTGGAGGATTTATGCTTCGAACAGCTAAACAAAAGCATAAATATCCTGAATAAAGAAAGTTGTAAATGTACAGAAAATAATATTTGACCACTTTGAAATGCTGACATCAATCAGAGCCACAACACATACATCCACACTACTTTTGTTCCTATGTAGTGCCTAATTTTATTATTAATTAATGCAGTAGTATTAATTAAATGCTACTTTGTGCTAGACTATTTTAAACCAGGAGATACAACCTAAAAGATTTAATTTTAAAGTTCTCCTGTATAGAAAATACAGTTGCACTATTTCTAGCATTATTTTATATCTTAGTAAATCTAATCTCTTCTAAACATTTTCAGACTCCTTAAGTTACTTCTAGAATTTACCAGAAAATTCATTAATGAGTTCATTAATTTTTCACCAATCTATAAACCTTACCACTGCCGCTTTTATTAGCTAACATATAATTAACTAGGTTTGACTTTTTAATTTTCAGGACAAGTCATTTACCTACATTATCAACAGTTTTATAATAATTACTTTTTTACTCCATCAGATTTATATCCCTCATCAGGCCTAGTAATTAGGATTCCATACTTAATATCTCATGGTCATAGTGACATTTATATCTGTCTTTCTTACTCTCAGTCTTTACATACTGAGTAGCTTGTAATCTTAACTCTCTATTTTAAAGAAATCAATGGCAATAATGTACACAAAATTGCAGTATTAAAGAAATTACAGATATATCTATTAGTGGGAAATTTTGATCCTCATTCCCTAATATTTACACCACATATGCCCATTGACTATCAACTTTCTTCATGTAGAAAAATATTTTTTTAAAAAGTTAGTGATTGTCAACAGATAGAAACAAGGATTAAACAATGCCATCTTTCTTGAAACAAATACGAATTCATGGAATAATGCTAATATTAATCCTGCCAGTAGATTCATACACCTCTTCTGAGATATACTTCCTCTAAAAAGTTAAAGGCCAAAAAATATATAACAACAAATAGCATAGCCTCTTTTAAAAAGTTCTAGAATCTCATAAATTGTTTTCCTATAAATACACAACACAAATTTTAAAAGGAAAGAAGAAATTGGAGTCACCAGAGCTTTGCTTAAGCTAAGAATTCAGTTAGCTAATTAATTCAATTAATTTAGGCTTGACATAATATATTACCCAAAATATTTTTCTTCTTGAGATTTGAAAAATTCTACAAATAAGAGTTTAAAGAGCAATTGTTTATGTCATTTTTGGTTTTTTCTTTTGTTTCTTTTGTTTGCAGTATTATAATCTATTTGCAGACAGTACCTTTATATAAAAGGTTCAGTATAATCATGGAATATTATGCAGCCATAAAAAAGAATGAGTTCATGTCCTTTGTAGGGACATAGATGAAGCTGGAAACCATCGTTCTCAGCAAACTAACACAGGAACAGAAAACCAAACACTGCATGTTCTCACTCATAAGTAGGAGTTGAACAGTGAGAACACAAGGACACAGGTAGAGAAATATCACACATCAGAGCTTGTCAGGGAGTAGGGAGCTAGGGGAGGGGGAGAATGAGGACAAATACCTAATGCATGTGGGGCTTAAAACCTACATGACAGATTGATGCATGCAGCAAATCACCATGACACATGTATACCTATGTAACAAACCTGCATGTTCTGCACATGTATCCCAGAACTTAAAGTATAATAAATAAATAAACAGTCCAGTATAATTTTAATGACAATCTTTCTTTTCAAAATAAAAATCTTTAAATGAAGACTGGGCATGGTGGCTCACACCTGTAATCTCAGCACTTTGGGAGGCCAAGGCAGGAGGATCACTTGAGGCCAGGAGTTTGAGGACCAACCTGGGCAACGTAGTGAGACCCAGTGTCTACAAAAAAAAAAAAAAAAATACAAAAATTAGCCAGGTGTGGAGGCATGAGTCTGTAGTTCCTGTTACTCAAGAGGCTGAGGAAGAAAGATCACTTGCGTATGGGAGGTTGGGAGCTGAGATCATGCCACTGCGCTCCAGCCTGGGTGACAAAAACAAAACAAAACAAAACAAAACAAACAAAAATCTTTAAATGAAACATATTAAATTGGGCAAAACTCATGTGAAGGCAAGAAAAATTGGTTTCTGAAGAGCTAGATGCTACATGAAAATTAAAGAGTAAAATTTCTGATCATTGAAAAGTAAGGGGTAAACACTTGAAAATAGTTTGGGAAAATGCTCTTTTGAGATTTTGCTGTAGCAT